GCTGGGTCAAATGGTATCTCTATTTGCAACTTTTTGAGAAAGCGCCATACTGCTTTCCACAGGGGTTGCACCATTTTACACTCCCACCAACAGTGTAAAATAAGATTTTGAAAATCCATGACTCCTTGAGTTAGCTTTAAAATATGGCTATACTTCAAACAACTTGACTTTATTTTTTTTGTTTGTTTGTTTTTTACTTTATTTTTGTAAAATAAGAATAGTGTAAAGTTTTTTTCTTGTAAGAACAGGCTTTTTTTAAGAACAGTTATTGATTGTTTATATTTACCACTTGGGAAGACAGAAGTTTTTCCTTTTTTTTTTTTAATTGGTTTGCATACAATTCATAAATATTGTTTCATTCATGTTGTTGTTGTTGTTCTTATTTGTGTGCCATCAAGTCACCTGCGACTCACAGCAACCCTAAGTATATTAGCTCTGAACCGTGCCCTGTCCCGAGCCAACCTCATCATCTCCAACAGACTTAATCCCATTTTTCCGGTCACTAAGTCATTCCATCTCATCCCGGGTCTTCTGCGCTGTGCCTCCACCCCTCCAAACATGATATACTTCTCTAAGAACTAGTACCTCCTGGCCACTTGCCCACGGTATGTGAGATGGACCCTCAGAATCCTTACCACCAGGCAGCAGGCCAGTTTCACCTTCTCCAGCACCAGAACTCAAAAGCATTGATTCTTCTTATGTTATACTTTATCATTGTCCAGCTCTCTGATGCATAGCAAGTGATTGCAAAGACCATGGCCTGCATCAGGTACACCTTAGACTCCAGACTTATCATTGCTCTAGAGAAGTCCCTGACAGCAGACTTTCCCAATTTACCTTTTGATTTCCTGACTACTGGTACCAAGAGTGTTGAGTGTGGAAACAAGCAAGCTGAAGTTATTAACAATCTCAGTCTCTTCTCCGTCTGTCATGAAGCTGCCAATGGTTCAGTGGTGAAAATCTTTGTTTTCTTGATGTTGAGCTTCAGTCCATGTTGAAGACTACAGTCCTTGATCTTCTGCAACAAATGCTTCATGTCCTTCTCAATTTCAGCAAGCAAGGTTATGTAATCTGCATACCACAGGTTATTGATGAGTCTTCCTCCAATCCTAATGCCACATTCCTCTTCATAAAGTCCAGCCTCCTGAATAATCTGTTCTGCATATAGATGGAAAAGATATGGAGATAGGATGCATCTGTGGTGCATACCTTTCCTAATCCTGAACCATGCAGTGTTTCCCTGATCTGTTCTGACTACTGCTTCCTGGTCCAAGTTTAAGTTTTACAGGAGGCACAATGAAGTGTCTGGGATCCCCATTCTTCTCAAGGTTAGCCACAGAGTATTGTGATCTACACAATTAAATGCCTTTGCATAGTCAAGGAAACAGACATTCCTCTGATATTCTCAGCTTTTAGCCAAAATCCGTCTAATGTTGGCAATGATGTCTAGTGCCACAGCCGGTACTAAACTCAGCCTGCACATCTGGCAATTCTCTGCTGAGGTGCTCTTGCAGTCATTTTTGGATAATCTGCAGCAGGATCTTTCTTGCATGTGATATTATTAGTGATGTTGTTTGTTGTTGTTATGTGCCATCAAGTTGCCTGCAACTCACAGAGACCCTGTATATAACAGCTCTGAAGGCTGCCCTGGCCTAAGCCAGTCTCATTGACTCTGACACACCTACCTCTATTGTCCTAGTTACTGTATCAATTCATCTCCTCCAGGGTCTTCCTCTTCTGTGCTGTCCCTCCACCCTTCTGAGTATGATGTCCTTCAAGGATCTGTCCCTCCTGGCCACGTGCCATAAGTATGTGAGATGAAGTTTCAAAATCCTAGCCTCCAAGGAGAAACTTGGTTTCACCCTGTACAAGACAGACCTATATGTTTTCTTGGCGGTCCATACTCTTTGATAGTTTCCACACTCCTTGGGTCACCTCTTTTTGTAATGAAAAGAAATACAGATTTCTTCCGGTCAGTTTGCCAGATAGTTGTCCTCCAAATTTCTTGGCATATGAGTGCATCCAGGGCAGCAGCATCTCTTTGCCGAAATATGTCAGTTGTTATTCTATCAATTCCTGGTACCTTCTTTTTTTTTTGCAAATTCCTTCACAGCAGCAGAACTTCCTCCTTCATCACCATAGGCTCTTGATCATATGTTGTTTCATGAAATTATTCCATGTCAGCCAATTCTTTTAGCCAGTTCTTTTTTGTATAGTGCCTCTGTACTCCTTCCATCTTCTTTAGATGCTTCCTGGGTCATTCAGCATTCTTAATTATACAACTAGAGGCTTAAACTTGTTCTTCAGTTCCTTTAGCTTCAGAAATGCCCAGCGAGTTTGTCTCTTTTGCTTTTCCAGTACCAATTTTTGCACATTTCATTATAATACTTTGCTTTGTCTTCCTGAGCTGCCCTTTGAAATCTTCCATTCAGCTCCTTAAGTTTTTTATTTCTTCCCTTTGCTTTGCCTTCTTGGAACTCCAGTGCAATGTTCACAGTTTCTTCTGACACCCATCTTGGTTTTTTCTTTCTCCTCTGTCCTTGTAATCACTTTTTTGTTTTATACAATCATTCATTAGCCTGAGAATTTGATTAGTACTGCTCTCGCTGTGGTGCCTAGTGGTAAGAAGCTGTGCTGCAATTCCAGAGACATACAGTTTGAATACACCAGTTGCTCTGTGAGAGAAGACTGAACACTTTCCTCCTATGCGATTTACAACCTCTGAAAACCCACTGTAGGGTCAGCTGTGGGTCATTTCCAACTCAAGAATACTCAACAACAACATCCTCATAGAAAGAACCCTGTTGGTCTGATGAGTAAGGAGTTATGCTACCAATTCAAAGACAGGCAGTTCAAATCCACCAGCTGTTCTTTAAGAGAAAGATGGGCAGTCTTATTCACAAGTACAAGAATTAAGGTTTCACCATTTTTTTTAGCTCAGCAGTTTAATTTATAGTGTTGTGTTAGCTGCTGCTAAGCCATATCTTCACTGTCTTGTATTTGTACATTTTACATCTTATACCCACATACAGCACCTTAACTGTTAACTTTTTTTGTGTATGAGCCAGTGTATTTCATCTCTTGATCTCTTTAAAAATTTGAATTTTGTTTTCTGTTATCAGACCTCTCTTTGTTTTATAAACAGAAGAACATATATTCTATAGCTTCTGACAAATCATTGATGAAAATGTTTTCAAAGAAAAACAAAACAAAACAAATTCCAGTCATAGCATGGTATCCCAGGCCCCTCTTAGGTGATTGTTGAAACTTTGGGATCAATTTCACAAGTTCTTGCTGGTTATTTTTTGATAAAAATCTTATAAGATGAAAGTTGTTTTTAATCAAGACTACTCAACCAGAACCTATCTCAATTAGATTAAGTTTTGGATAATAAGCGCACTTTGTTCACATAGTTAGGCTTCTGATTTCTCCTTAGAGACTCTGGCCTAACATCTAACATTGGAGATTGATATCCTTCTTGGTTTTTTTATATTACTTCTAACTAATAGTTGGATGCATAGTGTTAAATGCATTTATCTTTTGCTTAGCATTTAATTTGTGTGATTTAATTGAAAAGTATATAGTAGCTTTAGTTTTCAAATGAAGAGATGACAGCTCATCCTCTGAAATGTCTCATAAACACTTTAGCCTATTCTCCTTTCTCTGTACTCATTGTTGTCTCTAATACTCACTAGACATTTACTTTATATTATCTTGACCTTGGTTGGTTTTTCTGTTTACATATTTTTTAACTATTCCATTGGATTGAATGTACAATTTCTTCAGGGCAGGGATTATATCCAATGAAGTCCAGTGTCCTTTTTTGTATATAGCTTATGTGATTATTTGGTTAGCTGTAAGAAATTTTGATTAACCTATTACTGAATCATTATGGAGGTACTCATTGAGACAAAGGATGCCTTTGTGACATGTAGGTAGTGCTGCCAAGACAACCTAAAAGATCAAAATTCTTTATTTTTAAAATACAGAAATAAAATTGTCAGTTATATAAATAGCATATTTACATGGTAAAAAATGCTATTAAATTAAAAAGTGAGTCATTGTTTACTCCAACATCTGCATCCCTGATTCTAACATCCTTCTCTGAAAATAAAAACACTTGGCCTTCTGGGAATAGTTTCTGTGTATTTTAACATACACAACAGTCTTTAAACTCAAAAGATAGAATTCTGCATTTGGATGTTGTCTTTTTTTAAATTTCATTATTTTTTATGTGTACCGTCAAATCAGATCTGGCTGGTACAGAAGGAGATTGTTCCTCCTTCTCCAGCAGAGCATCTGGTGGATTCGAACGACGCACTTCTGAGATTGCAGTACAGCTTCTTGCCACTAGGCCACCAGAGCTTGCCAGATGTTGTCTTTAGGTAACATATTTTTTAGTCATGTCTACAGAAGCACATAGAGATTTACCTTTGTATTTCATTGTATAGATGTCTTACAGTTTGTTTGTTTCTTGTTTTGAAGGAGTTAAAACAAAAGAAATTGTCTAATGAGGCATTCCTCTTTAGGAAGATAAAACTCTTATTTAAGACTTCAACATACCACAAAGACAGTTTTTATCTCTTTTCTTCCTTGATAGAGCTCTTAGTGTACTTCGAGAAATATTTATCTTATCCAAATATATGGTTAAACAAAGCTTTTTTGCTGTTGAAATCAAGTAGCATGTGTCTTATAAGTAACTCTGTTCCATGGTGTGCAGACCATCTTGTCTCAAAGATCACATTCAACTTTTCATCCTGGATACTTTTGAAAAGAAAAATTTTTATTTTCTAGCATGGACTGACAGACTTTTTTTTAAGCCTTACTTACTAGCTTAATATTTTGTTTTTAAAGGTCTAGTGGAGCTAGTGCCTTCTTCAGATACCCTTAGGAAAATCCAAGTGGAATATGGAGTGACAGGATCCTTTAAAGATAAACCTCTTGCGGATTGGCTGAGGAAATATAATCCCTCTGAAGAAGAATATGAAAAGGTAATTAATATCCCTCTATTTGATATAACTTTGTTTAAAACATGTTACCTAAGTTTTAAATGCTTCCCTTTTCAGACTATTAACTATTTAGATTACAGCAGGAAAACAGTGTCTTTCTCTAAGTGTTGAAGTAATATATGACAGTAAGTTTTAATTACCAGTATCTGTGTGAAACCATTGCCAAATTATCCAGAAAATAGTCCAAGTAAATATTTAAGAGGACAGAAAAAACAGAGGTATTTTTATAACTCAGAATGTTACTTTTCACAAAAATCTTGGAAGAAGTTACGGAAATGAGTGAAGGTCGGCATCTTGTTATAGTTAAGAGCCTGGATCATGGCCAGACCATCTGGGCTTGAATTCAGGCCCCAAGACACTCACAGATTATAGGGCCTTGGGATGATTATTTAACTTCTTTGACTCTCAGTGACCTGCTGTAAAATGTTAGAGAGTATATTTTATATTTAAAATAGTATGGTAGCATGTATTATGGCAGTAAAAAAGAATAGTTGTGAGGATTAAGTGAGTTAATATGTATTGTGTATGTATTATGTAAGTTACATAATTGATATTAATGGAGGCACCTTTTTTTGTGTGCCTTTCCTAAACTGACTTAAGGGAGACCAGAACACTTTGAATGGTAAGAAGATGCCAGTTGTAAGTTCATGTCGAATCATTGATGTACACCGCCTTATAGAATAATTTTGTTCTTTATGGAGTTTTTATTTGTGGGGTTATGGAATAAAAGAATCATCTGGACAGATGGGGCTTTTATGACTGCTTCATTCAGGAATACACTCTTATTAGAAAAAGAAGTGTGTTATGTTTTAGAGTAAAATACAGATTTCACTCTTGTGGCTTCTGTAAGGTATTAGTAATGTAATAACTCTCAGGAAAGGTAGTTTTAACTAAAAGATAGTCAGAGAAGGTCTTGGGTTTGAGAAGTTTGCAGACAACACATAGGAAATCACTAAAAGGAACACAAAACCCCTTATTACATGTCCTTCCTATAAGAAAAAAGAAAGCATAATCTTCTATACAGATGAATCTTTGTCTCAGTGTTTGTGGTACTGTTTGTTGTGAACATCAGGGCTTATGGGGAGTGCATTTTAGGCAAGTAATGTTTCAAAGGGAGCTCTCGTGGTGGTATCTCTCAGTGTTTGTGGTACTGTTTGTGGTGAACATCAGGGCTTATGGGGAGTGCATTTTAGGCAAGTAATGTCAAAGGGAGCTCTCGTAGTGGTGTCTGTAAGGCGTTGTGCCAGCATCCCAAAGGCCACACCTCTCTTAATATTTTAATCCATCATTTGCTCTGCCAAAGAAAATGGACAGTCCCTCTTGTGTGATTTATACTCTTAGGAACCCAGTGGACGGTATAGGCTGTGAGTGAGTGCTGACTCAATGAGAGTGAGTTTTGGTTTTGTTTTTCTTTTTAATACTTAAAATCTGTTCAGAGTCAGCACCCAACCTTGGTAGTAGCTGGAAGGATCACTTTCTGTTAAAAACAACAACAACAACAACAAAAGCTTTTCACAGAAGGGAAAGGAATCACTTTTAAAAGGAGTTCTGATGGTCTAGTGTCAGAAACTGCGCTGCAGTCCCAAAAGCATGCAGTTCAGATGAACCAGCTGCCCCAAGGGACGGAGGGCAGTCTCCTCCAGTGTGTTTAACTGCCTCTGAAAAACCTGGTGGAGGGTCAGCTATCGGTTGGTTCCAACTCCTCGGCACACGAAAACAAGTCTTCTTGAAGTGGGGAAAGACTGTCAAACAACAATTTATGTATGCCTTTTGAAAATGTAGATTATGATATTGGCTTTTTGGGGGGCATTATTTTTTAGAAGTATTAAACATTCTTTATTTGATACTATACACAAACCACACTGTAATGCTTTTTGTTACTTAAAAGGCAATATTTTAGGTACAGGGAGTTTGAATTTGATTAATACAGTTTAAGAGCAAATAAAGTTTTTATTACTTTATCAGCAGCACTTGCATTTAAACTGGCTGATAAATGGAAATTTAAGTGGGTGAGTTGTATTCTGTTTCATGTGACAGTAAAGAGACCTCCCGGTATTTAACGAAGATTCATATAATCCGTTAGAGAAATCTAAATATAAAAACTATCACCTATAGATTGTGAGGTATCATCCACCATCTCTGTTAAAAACTGAGTACGACTAATACAACTAAGCTAGAGTCCAGAGTCCGGTCATGTCTCTGAAAGGGAAAAATAGTGAATAACGTGCTAAACTGAAATTACTATCAAAATTTTTTAAAATGTTATCATAATAATTTAAACAAAGCCACTCTTACTGAATGCAGGACTGTCTAATAAAAATATTTTATCAGCCATTCATAATCTAAATTTTGGTATCAGATCAATTTAAATATTGTACATGTTTTTAAAAAGTCAAAAGACATTTCTATTTTGTAATAAGGCAGTGGCCAACTATGTTACTCATTGGTAGCTTAAGAAAAGCTATCAACTCTACCCTTTATGTCTTCTTCTTAATGCTAGCAAAGATTATCTTTTTTCCAGGGATGTATTTCTTGAGATTCTCCAGATACTCCATCAGTGTATCCTCTTCCCAGGTGATACTTTTGTTCTTCTGGCATCTGTGTAAGAGAATCCAGGGACTGGACCAGTCTTCCACCCAAATAAACCATGGAGATTTGGCCCAGTCTTGTGTTTGCCTCCGTTTTCCAAAATGTGGCACTAGGCACACTTTTGCACAAAAAATTTTCTTGCCCTTCTAAAATCACTCATCTTGAATTCATTCTGTAGTCCTGCGCATCAAGTCAAATGCTCAGGAGCCAGATGTCTTGCTCTCTAAGTCTATAATACTGTTCTGAAAGAGTGGTGAATATTTTAATCTTGGTAAACCTACCTCCTTTAAAGAAAGTTTTTTTCTAAAATTATTTTATATCTTTATTATAGGCTTCTGAAAATTTTATTTATTCGTGTGCTGGGTGCTGTGTAGCCACCTATGTTTTAGGCATCTGTGATCGGCACAATGATAATATAATGCTTCGAAGCACAGGACACATGTTTCACATTGACTTTGGAAAATTCTTGGGCCATGCACAGATGTTTGGTAGCTTCAAAAGGTATTGATTCTGTTATTATTGCTATTGCTAGTGAAAACAAAGATACTACACAAATTAAATGTCCCATTTTTGCCTTTGTCTTGATGTGCTTTACCTCTCACTCCCTTTGGGCACAGTTAGGAAAGGGCCCTAAAAGATGGTTTTACCAGGTAGTAGAATGAATGAGTAAATTTTGTTGAAATGAGTTAGGAACATACTTTATTTTAACATCTGGCTATGCTTTCTTGAGGAGCTTTGATGGTTTAGTGGTAATGAATTACAGTGCCAAACCAGAGGGACTTGTTTCAAGCCAACCATCTGCTTGGCAGGAGAAAAATGGACAGTCTCCTCTGCTCTGCCCCTAAAATCCCATTGCAGAGTCAACTGTCAGTCGGTTCTTAGTGGAACATAACCATAACATAGACTAGAAGTTTTCTCAAATCTTATAATGAAATCTAATATAAAATTTTATCTATATGTATTTATAACTACTATGTGTGCAGCTTTGATGGTCTAGTTAATAAGAAGTTACATTTCCAACCCCAAGGCAGGTAGTTCAAATCAACCAGCTACTTGGCAGCAGATGGATAAGCATTCTCCTCGCATGTAATTTACAACCTTTGAAAGAAAACCCCCTGGAGGATCAGCTCTGAGTTGGTTCTGACTTGATGGCACACAGTACCATGTAGGAATTTGTAATAAATACCACCATGGAGAAAATTTTGTATATAACATTTTTCTAAATTAGATTAATTTGTGGTGATTCTTGAAATAATTTTGTGAAATTTTTAATTATGCATATGCAAAACTTCCTGCTACTTCATTTTCTAGTCAGAAATGTCTGTGGCTTACATAGATCACTTCAGTAACCACGTTGTTAATAATGATCAAGTAACAATACTGCCATTTCAGTATCCTTCTGTAAGTAATGCTTGTGTTTTTTCTGTTTTGTTTTTAAATAGGGATCGGGCTCCTTTTGTGTTAACTTCTGATATGGCATATGTCATCAATGGGGGTGAAAAGCCCACCATTCGTTTCCAGTTGTTTGTGGATCTTTGCTGCCAGGCTTACAACTTGATAAGAAAGCAGACAAATCTCTTTCTTAACCTTCTTTCACTGGTAATTCTGTTCTTTGCAAGCATTTAATTAATTTTATATTAATGTATCATTTTAATATCTAAAAAAGGCTTTTTTGTGATTTTAGAGTAAAAAATATTGAATAAGACTTAGTGTAGCCACAAATGACCAGATATATTATTACTGAACTTTAAAAAAACTATTAGACAAATCAACCCATCAACAAATGGATAGATAGAGAGGCTCTGGTATATTCACACAATGGAATACTATGAAGCACTGAAAAACAAGGAACTCATAAAATATTATGCAAAGTGGATGACCTTAAGAGGACATTATGCTAAGTGAAATATCTCAGTCACAAAAGGACAAATATTGCATAGGGCCACTGTTGTAAAACAGGACTGACAATGGGGTTGAGGGAAGACAGAGAAGAAGGGGAGGAATGATGTATACTGCATTGCAACAGAAGAGGGAGAGAACTGTTTAAAAGGGATATATGATTAGGTATTATTGTCATGACAAGAGTCCGGAATGATGTCTGCACAGTACAGTGGACTTAGGGGGAGGGACTGCATAGCAATGAAAGAGGTTTTCTTTTACTTATCAAGGAGAAAAGTGAATTGGGGGTAAGCGGTTAGGGAGAAAAGTGCAACCCTGAATGAATAGAAACCCCAAGTCTCTGTAAACTTTCATTAAAATTAATTAAAAAATGTTTAAAATTAAAAGAAAACCTCAAAATAATTATTAGACAAATCAGACCCAGTGTATACTGTACAAAAAAGAAGTCAGCATCATGGTTACTTTGGGGGTTGAAGGTAATGACTGAAAGGGAACCCTCCAGGTGCAATTGGAAAGGGTGGTTTTGTGTCTTAATTTCGATCTGTTCAGATTGTGAAAATTTATTGAGCTTTTATGTTTTTGACTTACAAACTTTTCTAGATGTGTATTAAGTTTAAAAAACATCAACAACCCAATAACAAAAACTTAGTATGCTAATTGTGACTGAAATGGATGTTGGTAGTAAGAAAAGAAAAAAACAACACAAAAAGTGGTCTGGATTTCACGATTTTTAGTCTTTAAACTAGCTTTGTGAGTTCTGGTAAATCTTGGTTTTAGTAGTCTCATTTGTAATGAGAATCATTTAAAAAAAAACCTCAAAGCTCATTTACTCAAGTCAGAACTTACCTCATAACTGTCACTGCAGTGGGTTTTCTAAGTCTGTGAAGGACATGAAAGGAGACTGCCCATCTTTTTCTTCAGGAGCTGCTGGTGGGTTTGAAATACCAGAGATGAGGCCCTGCAGCACTGCATGGACTACACCAGAGCGTCATTTTTTATTAAAACATTTAAGTCCCCAAACCCCCTAGCATATTCCTCAAACTGTGATTCTTTTTGTTTGCTTTGTTCTGATAATTTACCAGCTTGCATGAAAGAGAATATAATAATATTTTTAAAAATTCAGTTCCATTAACTTTTTTTTATGTATAGATGATTCCTTCGGGGTTACCAGAACTCACAAGTATTCAGGATTTGAAATATGTTAGAGATGCCCTTCAGCCCCAAACTACAGATGCAGAAGCTACAATTTTCTTTACCAGGTAAGGCACATTTACATATATTAGAAAAAGGTTTTAGAATTTGCTTTGATTAGTTTTTTTTTAGCTATTTTCAGGATTTATTATTCAAATCTATATTCTCTTAAAACATACTCACATATTAAATTCAATTATATATAAAAATTTAATAAAATAATAAAGAGCTATAATTATAATGTTTTCAGGTATGCTATCAATGTGAAAACATTACAAAAATAATCATTTGCAATATAATTTGAACTGTATGAATCAGACACTTTAGAGGGTGATTTACCACTTTCCAAATAGTAATTTGTGATTCTGGGGTTGAATGAGGGTAGAAAGGTAATAAATACTTCTTATATAGAAGCATAATACATCTTATAGAGAAGTAAAATGTTACATTATGAAATTTAAGTTGAATAATTGGGCCAATGTCTTACTGCATACTTTAATTTCATACTATGCAAATAAAACAGAGTAGATAGGTATATGACAGGGAAATGCTTTAAAAATTTACATGCACTCAAGATTTAGATAGAACTAAGAATTAACTGCAGTGTGTATTAAAAGTTCTGAGACATAGGCCAGACCTATGTTTTTTTTTTCCAAGAGTTGTCTCCAACGTTCCTTAGGGCAACCCATACATGCAACAGGCTGCGTACACTACCAAGGATTTGCTGTTTGCAGCCAGCTTTGATTAGTTTTACCTTTGTTTAAATAATGTTACTTACCAGAATTTATTCCAATAGTGAATAGACAATAAGTAGATTATCACAAGTTTATTTTTTAAAAAAATGATACCTTATTCTAATCTGCCATAACACTTAATGCCATAAACACTGAGACACTGGTTGTGAACTTCCTGTAAGCCCTAATATGTGAAATGCCTGTATCAGTGGTTGGCAACTGAATTTGTTTTCATTGCTTTCAGAGCAGGTTTTCTGGTAAATAAAAATTTAGTGACCAAGGAGTCACTGGCTTCTGCCTCCACATCATCGTAATACCATACCACAGAGGGATAAATCAGCTCATGGTCTTTTTCTCTCTCTTCCTTTCTCTCACTGAAGTAGAGGTATGAAAAACTGACTAGAGTAAATTGAAGGAAGCTGACTTTTTGACTTTTGATTGGTTCTGTTTGGTGGATTTTTTAAAAAGTTTCATTGACTCCCTGAGCAAACTGCAAAGGAGGTTCTCTCATTTCCTTTTTTAAATCTCTTTTTCACTTCCTTTACCTGATTTTGAGGATTTTTATTTCCTTTGCTTGCTTAAAATATTCTGTGTAGATATACCTTCCAAATTACCCCTACCAAACTCCTCATCCTGTCATCCTTTCATTTTTCAATGAAGTAAAATTGGTATTATCTGAAGATATATAAATATTTGATAAAAGGAATTTTTTGCAAAATTTATTACTTTGGGTGTTTTTTTTCATACCTCTTTTTCACTTCTTCCCTTTATTGCCCAGGAATAAAGTAGTCACCTTTTTACCATTATGCCTATCATCTGTGATACACATATGCTATGCGTATCTCTAATAGTTAAGCTGTTAAGTAGTCTTGGATCTCATAGAGCTTAAAAAAACCAGTACCATTTTTATGGAGACAATAGCATAGAATGGAAACTCTCTTAAGTCAAATTTTTTTGTTTAGATCAGCTATATCTTTTTAAAATTAGTTTCATCCTTTTTTCTATTGGATTATTTACCTTTATCTTGTTGTGGTGCTCAAGTATTTCATAAATTCTGGATATAAGTCCCTTATCTGATATGTTATTACCGAATACT